CTCAAACTCCCAGGCTCGAGCAATCCTTCTGCCTCAGCCTTGTAAGAAGCTAGGACTTACAGGCACACACCACCACACCTGATTAATTTTTCTTATTTTTTGTAGAGACTGGGTCTTGCTATATTGCCCAGGCTGGTCTCAAATTCTTGGCTTCAAGCCATCTTCCTGCCTCAGCCTCCCAAAGTGCTGGGATTACAGGCGTGAGCCACTGTGCCCAGCCTGGGTTATGTTGTTTGTATAGATCAAATTGGAGAGAAATGAAATTTTATAATCCTTGAATATGGTGTATCTCTCCGTTTATCCTCTTTGATTTCTTTTATCAGTGTTTTGTTGTTATCTAGCACAAATTTTTTTAGATTTAGCTCCAATTTTTTTCTTTTTCTTGGTTCTGTTATAAATAGTATTGCTTTTTAAATTTCAAATTCCATTCGCTTATTGCTATCATATAGAAATACAGTTGATGTGTATATATTGGCTTTGTGTCCTGTTATCTTGCTTCACTTACCTACCTGCTCTAGGAGCTTTTTTGTAGATCTTTTGGAACTTTCTATATAGACAGCTGTATCAACTGTGAATAGTTTTATTGTTTCCTTTCTAATATTTATTCCCGTTTCTTAACTTTTTGCACTGGCTAGTACTTCTAGTATGGCATTGGTGAAAGACATCCTTGCCTTGTTCATGATCTTATGGGGAAAACATTTAGTCTTTCACTATTAAGTATGATGTTAGCTACAGGTTTTTTTTTTTTAAGAGATGTCCTTTATCAGATTGAGGAATTTCCCTTTTGTATTAGTTCCCTAGAGTTGCCATAATAGATTACCACAACTTGGTGGCTTAAAACAACAGAAATTTATTCTTTTACAACTCTGGAGGCTGAAATTACACTGTAGAGTGTTAGAGTAGGTAGTCAGTTAGGTATGAGCAAGGGAGGAAGGAAGGGAAAAGTTAGTCAATTGGCTTGAACAAATAGCCATTGAATGAACAGGCCTACGGAGAAGAAAATAGCCATTAATTTCCCAGCATTGCACAGGTACAGAGTGACCTTCCCCCAATTATATCACAATTGTAATAAGTTAACATTGTGGTTTTGACCCTCCTTGTGGGAAAAAACAGGGGAACTGTGAGTAAGAACAGAATGAACACTACTGCCCAGCCTTCTCTGACTTCAACAAGTAAAAACAGCGAGTCCACTTGCTCAAGGCTTCTTCGGTATGGTCCTGGGTCCTGGTCCTCAAATGTGACTCATAATAAACCTCTTTAAGTTATTTTACAGAAAAAAAATTGTCCTGCTGACAAGAAAAAAGAAAAAAAGAAAAAAATAACAGCAACTGCTTGGGGTTCAGGGAAGTTGCTCTTTTCCAGCCTGCCCACTCCCTTTTCTTGGGGGTGCACTTTCGCTTTGCACAGGCCTTTCCTGAGCCTGTCTGCTTTCACTAATAAACTAGCCACTATCGCTTGGTTGTGCACATCCTGAAATTCCTTTCTGCGATGTTGGCAAGAACCTTTACACCGGTGATAAGAGGAGCCACACTTCCTCTGAACCCTTCTTTGCCTCTTTCAGCTTCTGGTGACTCGAGGCATTCTTGGCTGTGGCAGCATAACTTTAGTCTCTTTACATGGCCTTCCCCTTTGTGCCTTTATGTGTCCTTTTTTATCTCTTATGAAGATAATCTCATTGGATTGAGGTCTCTCAATCCAGTATGGTCTCTTCTGTATTCTTACCTTAATTACATCAGCAAAGACCCTATTTTCAAATATGATCACATTCTAATGTTCCAGGTTGACATGAATCACCCTGGAACGCTATTCAACCCACTATACCTTCTATTCCTAATTTGTTGAGAGTTTTGTAAAAATCATAAAGGGATGTTGAATATTTTTAAATACTCTTTCTGTATCTGTTGATGACTTTCTTCTTTGGTTTGTTATGGTAAATTCCATTGACTGATTTTTGAATGTTGAACTAGATTTGCATTTGTAGGATATACATACCACCTGATGATATATATTATTCTTTTTATGTATGGCTGGATTTGACTTGTTAGTGTGTTGTGGAAGATTTTTTGTATCTATCAATGAGGGATATTATTGTATACTCTATAGTTTTATTTTTTTGTGATATATTTGTCTGGAACTAATAACAGATGGTTCCCGACTTACAATTTTTTGATTTTACAGTGATGCAAAATCATTACAATTTTGACATACTGTACAGTATTGAATAAATTACATGAGCTATTTAATATTTTAGGATAAAATAGGCTTTATGTTACATAATTTTGCCCAAATGTAGGCTAATGTAAGTGTTCAGAGCATGTTTAAGGTAGACCAGACTAAGGCGTGATGTTGTGTAGGTTAGGTGCATTATTAATAAATCCATCTTCAACTTATGATATTTTCAATTTATGATGAGTTTATTGGGATGTAACCCTATCATAAGCTGAAAAGCATCTGGACTGGCTTCATAACATGATTGGGAAGTATTTCCTCATTGTATGGAATTGATATTATTTCTTCCTTATCTATTTGGTAGAATTTGGCCTTCAGTTTTCTTTATTGGAAGGTTTTAATGACATATTCATTTTTTTAAATAGATATGTAACTATTCATGTTATCTGTTTTTTCCTCAGTGAGTTTTGATAGTTTGTGTCTTTCAAGGAATTTGAATTTATGGACATAGAGTTCTTTATAGTAATCCCTTTCAAATACTTTTTATATCTGTGAGGTCGATAGTGATAACTCCTCTTTCTTTTCTGATTTTGGTAATTTGTGTCATCCTTTTCTTCTCAATAAGACTTGCTAGACGTTTGTCAGTTTTATTGATTCCCCCCCCCCCAAAAAAAAAACCCTAGCTGTTGGTTTTATTGATTTCTGCTTTAATCTTTATAATGCTTCCTATCTTCTGCTTTGGGTTGAATTTGCACTTCTTAGATTCTTCAATTGAAATCTTAGATGACTGATTTCTCCCCCCTTCCTCCCCCTTTCCTCCTCCCTCCTCCTCCTCTTCTTCCTCCTTCTCTTCTTCCTCCTCCTCCTCCATAGAGTCTTGCTCTGTTGCCCAGGCTGGAGTGCAGGGGCACAATTATACTCACTGTGGCCTTGGACTCCTGGACTCAAGTGATCCTCCTAGCTCAGCCTCCCAAGTAGCTGGGACCATAGGCACATGCCACCACACCTGGCTAATTTTTAAATTTTTTGTAGAGACAGGGTCAGGCTGATCTGGAACTCCTGGGCTCAATTAATCCTCCTGCCTCAGCCTTCCAAAGTCCTGGGATTACAGGCTCAAGTGCCTGGCTACTTCTTCTTTTTTAATGTAAGCATTTAGTGGTACAAATTTCTCTCTAAAGTTAACGCTGCATCCCACAGTTTAAGGCTTTTGTCCTTTAGTGGGAATAGAGGAAAGAGATACTGGTTCAGCTTCATGCCTTACACAGAAGCTGCTGTTTTTCCCTCTCCTAGTTCTTGTACCGTTAGGTAGACCTTCTTCAGACTTTTTCAGTCTTTTCTGTGAGTGCCTGGTGTGATTCATGAAGATAAAACATGCAAAATTTGCCGCACTTCTCCCCACCTCTCAACAGTGTATACTAAATCTCCACCAATTTTTCAGACCCTGCTGACCTCCTCTTACATCTTGCTGTATCTTGTCTGTGTAAGCCAATGTTTATGTCTTATCTCTCCCTTCAAATACCTGTCTCCTTAGTTTAGGGTCCTTCTGACCTCAGTGTTCGGATGGGGTCAAGAAAATTTGAAAAATTGCCATTCGTCTGGCTTTATTTTGTTTTTGGAGGTTGGAAGTGACACTCTTTCTATATTCCAAGCCTTTGGCTTTTAGAGTTCCTCTGCATTTTAGGTGATTAATAGTGTTTGTCGCCCAAGAGAAGGTTAATCACTATTGTTCTGATGTTAGTACTTAGTACTTGTATAACTGTATTTATCACACTATACTGTAATTATTTTCTATCATATCTTTTTCTACTATTAGTTAGCACACTGCTTGAGAAAAGTAAGATCTGTGACCTTCATTTATACCCAGTGCTTTCTGATTGGTAGTAGGTACTCATTATATGCTTGTTAAATAGAATCACATTAAGATTTTAATTCGGCCGGCGCGGTGACTCACGCCTGTAATCCTAGCTCTCTGGGAGGCCGAGGTGGGCGGATTGTTTGAGCTCAGGAGTTCGAGACTAGCCTGAGCAAGAGCAAGACCCCGCCTCTACTAAAATTAGAAAGAAATTAATCGGCCAACTAAAAATATATAGAAAAAATTAGCCGGGCATGGTGGCGCATGCCTGTAGTCCCAGCTACTCGGGAGGCTGGGGCAGTAGGATCACTTGAGCCCAGGAGTTTGAGGTTGCTGTGAGCTAGGCTGACGCCACGGCACTCACTCTAGCCCGGGCAACAGAGTCAGACTCTGTCTCAAAAAAAAAAAAAAAGATTTTAATTCATAGCACAGGCCTTGTACCTTGTAAAATTCCGAGTAAATATTGTTGAATAATTTGTGAATAAAATGGCTTATTTCGACAGTGTTTATAAATCGATTTAACTTCTATTTGCCTGAATTTCCAGATAGTTTAAAAAAAAGGCTCAGTTTAAAAGTCTGATTTAATCATTCTTGTAATAAAAAATCTTGCTGTGATTCAGCCAGAAGATTCAGTTGCATGAGTTAATCATTAGTTGCTCAAAAACTGTTAATGGGGTTGAATTATTTTGTGCTCCTATTGACTTTTTGGGTAATATTGTTTACCTGAGAACTTCAGAGCAATGGGTAATAAATTATTACGTTTTAAAAAATTTCTTAAAATCAAATTGGGCTAGCTGTCACTGAAAGAGTGAAATCATATTCTCTTGGTAGTATTTAGAAACAGGTTAGATTAAGTTTAGTTCTTATATCCTTACTTTAAGTTAGATTTTTTTCAATTTAACTGCATCTTTTCCAGATCAAATTTTCACCGGTAGCTAAAAAGTTGTTTGTGGTAACAGCAGTGAGTGCTATATCTGTAATTTTTCTGGCCCATCACTTTAAAAGAAAACGTGGAAAAAAGAAAGGAAAACTATTACCGTGGGAACCAGAGCACCTCATCCTTGAATACACTAAAAGAGCAGCTTCAGACAAAGGTATGTGGAAATAGCTGAATTAAGTCTACGGAAATAGTCTTATGTGTATGTCATTACTGGAGTGCAGTGATTTCAGTGTTTTAGTCTCCAAAATTTTCTTCCTTATTATTTAACTCACAAGTAATACAGATACATATTAGAAAGATTAGAAAACATAGATAAGCGAATAGAAAAAATTAAAATCACTTGAACTCTGTTACCCAGAAATAACTACTACTAATACTTTTGTCTATCAATCCATTTATATTTGCATTTAAATATCATATTGAGACATAAAATTTTGTATACAATTATTTATATATTTTAAGTGAAATTGTGGTCATTTTGTAACCTGCTTTTAAAATATTTGACAGTGTATAGGAATGTCATTCTAGGTCAATAAATGTATCTCTGTGCTATCATTTTTAATATATAATTAGTCTGGCCCTTGCCATTAATAAAAAAATTTTTAAAAGAATAATATAATTAGTGTTAAGTTTAATTTATTTAATTATTTCCCTATTGTCCCTGTTATGATGTTTGTGTTTTTCTTTTTTTGCATATACTTAGCTATTTCCTTAGTATATAATGGTCTGGAAGTAAAATTGCTGTCCTTTAAAGCAGTGGCCCCCAACCTTTTTGGCACCAGGGACTGGTTTCATGGAAGACAATGTTTCCACAGACCGGGATAGGGGGATGCTGTGTGTGTGGGGAGGTCGTGGGGAGTGGGATGGGTTGTGGTGCAGAGCTCAGGTAGTGATGCCTGGCCATTTCCTGACAGGCCACAGACTGGTGATGGGCCTTGGCCTGGGGGTTGGGGACTGCAGCTTTAAAGGACCTATAATTTTTGTTAGAGATATGGTACATATTGTCAAATTGTATCAATAAAAACAATTTCTTGAGCATGCTGGGTTTCTTAGTTTTTTGCTATTTAGCGTATGGTATGCTTTTGTGATTCATTAGTCGAGCAAATAATTAAAAGAGTTACTATATCATGCCAAGTGTAGTGAGCAGTATAGCAGTAATGATGGCTGATCAGTTACTGAGATTTTTATTAGGTCTCAGCTGAGTGCTATGTATTCAGTGCTTTATTTAACCTTACAACAATCCCGTGAATTAAGACTATAATCCCATGCTATTGTTCCTATTTTCCACATAAAGAAAACTGAGATATGGAAAAGTCGACTGATTTGTCCAAGGTCATTTAAGTGCTGAGATTTGAATCCACGAATGGGTTAACTGCTGCATGAAGAAAAACTAAGACACGATGTCTGCCCTAGAAGAATGGATAGATGGGTAGAGGAAAGAGAAGTGTAGAAAGCTAATTACAGGCTGGGCATGGTGGCTCACGTTTATAATCCTAGCACTTTGGGAGGCCAAGGCGGGAGGATTGCTTGTGGCCAGGAGTTTGAGATCAGCCTGAGCAACATAATGAGACTCTGTCTCTAAAAAAAAATAGAAAAAGTAGCTGGGCATGGTGGTGCATGCCTATGATCCCAGCTACTCGAGAGGCTGAGGCAGGGAGATTGTTTGATCCCGGGAGTTTGAGGTTGTATGTGAGCTATAATGATACAACTGCACTTTAGCCCAGGAAACAGAGCGAGACTCTGTCTGAAAAAAAAAAAAAAGCTAATTATAACATTATGCAATATGGAAAAGGTTTACTTGCAATTGAAAGAAAGTATTTATATTTTGTTAAATTTATAATTTAAAGGTTCATAGTTGCCAGTATTTTTATACTGATTATAAGAGACAATTAACATACCACCCTAATTAATTAGGTGAATGTTTTACTCTTCATTTCAGCAGCAGAATTTAGCAGTGTTAAAAACATTATATAGAGGTATAAATTTTAGTAATGGTGTACATTTAATCATTTACACAACTGAGTGAAGTGTTTTAAAATCAGAAGCTTTCTCAATGAATATAATATGAACTTTGAAATTTTACCTAAAATTTAGCATTGAGGTTATTGATACCTTTAATATTAGTATGTTTGTTTGATAGGTTCAAGTTGTTCCAGTAGTAGACAGAATTTGACATTATCTTTAAGTTCCAACAAAGACAAAGGATCTCAGTCTTGTAACTATGCTAATGGAGGACTTTTCAGTAAATACTCGGGTTCTGCACAGAGTTTGGCCTCTGTAAGTAAAGATATAATATTTTTTTTATATTTGTTTATCTGCCTCTTGTGATTTATTAGTTAAGTGTCATAAACTTAGAGTTCTTAGTATGGGAAGAACCTTGAGAAATCATCTGGTTGAATCTGCTTTCTTCAGGCAAGTAAGTATCCTTTTGCTAAATATTCAGCCAATTTGGTTCCGGGTTTCTTTGAGTATGTGATATGGTCCTATGGGTCCAAGCGAGAATGGTGTTGATGTGGAAGTAGTGCATCAAAATTAGATGTTCTGCAAGAAGCTGGACAGTGCAGTCAGACTTTGCGCCAGGTCACAATAATCACTTGATGAGCCTCTTTAGGTAAAAGTGTTTGGCTTGCTGAAGCCACGTATGAAGTTCCTCACTTCCTTCTTGAGCATTAATGTAGTGTTGACTGACAAGCAGAAGACCTCCCTTCTATTTTGAAGCATTAATATTAATTGACAAGTGAGGAGTGAAGTTAGTATTTGCTTAAATCTAATGTAGTTTAAACATTGATTTAAAAAGTAGATAGGGTATATACTTGCTACTAAATGCAAAACAAGCAAAAGAATGTACACTGAGAACCAGGTGTGGTGGTACATGCTTGTAGTCCCAGCTGCAAGCTTGAAATAGTAAGGCAGGAGGATCACTTAAGCCCAAGAGTTCTAAATTCTAGGCCAGCCTGGGCAACATAATGAGACCCTGTATTGTAAAAAAAAAAAAAAAA